GAGGCTGAGGCAGGGAGCGGACTGCTTGTGACCAGGTCGTTTGGAGACCAGCCGCTTGGAACCTAACGGCAGACCTCACTTTAACCAAAAAAAAAATAAATAAAATAAAAAAATTAAGCTGGGTGTGGGTCGGTGTGGGTACCATGTGTGGCCCCAGCTACTCGGGATGCTGAGGTGGGAGGAGTGCTTGAGCCTGGGAGGTCGAGGCTGCAGTGAGCTGTAATGCACCACTGGACTCCAGCCTGGGCAGTGCAGCCGGGAATAGTGAGACCCCGACTCAAAAAAAAAAAAAAATTAGAATTACAAATAGGCTGGGTGTGGTTGCTCATGCCTGTAATCCCAGCACTTTGGGAGGCCAAGGTAGGTGGATCACTTGAGGTCAGGAGTTGGAGACCAGCCTGGCCAACATGGTGACACTCGGTCTCTACCAAAAATGCAAAAATGATCTGGGCATGGTGGCATGCACCTGCAATCCCAGTTACTCAGGAGACTGAGGCAGGAGAATCACTTGAACCCGGGAGGCGGAGGTTGCAGTGAGCCAATATCGCACCACTGCACTCCAGCCCGGGCGACATGAGTGAAACTCCATCTCAAAAACATAAAATAAAGTAATAAAAATAAATTAAAATAATAATAATAATAAAGCGTCCTCCTTCTGCCTCCTGCCACAACCCAAGAGTCAGGACAAAACGCTTGTCTTCCACGAGCTCTGAAAACCCCATCTCTCAACTTCCTTTTCTTTCAGTATTCAGAGCTCTGCAGCCCAGGCCCTGTGAGCAGACTTCCTTCTTCTATCGAACAGTGACCTAGACATTTCCAGCCTCTAAACGGCCCAACCTCCCCAGGCTTCCATTCTCAGGGACCCACATCTAATAAGAGCTCTGACCTCCCAATAAAGGATATCTTCTCATAGAGATCCCAGCCGCGGAAAACCAAGAGATCTCTCCTCCCTTCTGGCAAGGAGCCTAAACTCTCAGTGGCCCCCTCCTCTCCCTACCCCCAACCTTGGAGATTAGGACCTTCACTCTCAGTCTAACTCCCACCCGGGATTTAGGACTGGAGTCCTGCAACCCAAAAAAGTTTGGTTTCGGCCTCCCCCTCCCCACTCCCGCACACTGAGTCCATCCGCCTCCACCTTCTCTCCCCAAAACCCAGCCAGCTGGTCCCCCAGCTTCTGGGAAATTCAGTTCCCCAGATTTCCAGCTGTCCAGTAGGAACCCCAGGCCCTTCCACTGAACTCTCTAGGCCTCACAATCCTGTTTGTTTGTTTGTTTTACTTTTTTTTTTTAAAACGGAGTCGCTCTGTCACCCAGGATGTAATGCAATGGTGCAATCTTGACTCACTGCAACCTCCGCCTCCTGGATTCAAGCAATTCTCCTGCCTCAGCCTCCTGAGTAGCTGGGATTACAGGCTTCCACCACCAAGCCCGGCTAATTTTTGTATTTTTAGTAGAGAAGAGGTTTCACCATGTTGGCCAGGCTGGTCTCAAACTGCTGACCTCAAGTGATCCGCCCGCCTTGGCCTCCCAAAGTGATGGGATTACAGGCATGAGCCACTGCGCCTGGCCATCACAGTCCTGTCATAAGGGGTCAGACCTCTGGCCCTGGGCCCTCAGCCTGAAGGATCCCAGATGCCCCAGACTCCAGAAAACCAACTTGCTTCTTTTGTCCTTGCAAAATCTACAGCTTTCACCTCCTTGTCCTAACGGCCCCCAGGAATCAAGTGCCAGTCCTCTTAGAAACCAGGTGCCCAGTTCTTTCCTCAGGGTGTAAACTGTCTCATTGCAGCCACACCACTAAACCCAAGCTGGCCTCTCCTAGCCCACAGGAAAGTAACTTCCTCCTTTCAGATTCAGGCCCATTGCAGGGCAGTAGCACAGGCCTTAACTTCTTCCCGGCAGTCCCAGCACAGCAGCTCCCTGAGACAAGGGAGCCAGGGCCTGGCCATGCTGCTTCCTCAAATATCTCAGCGTCTGGGGCCCTATTCCTTGGAGCCCAGCTTCCTGGTCTTTCTCCCAGGATCTAGGAGTCCAGAACCCAATCCTTCCTCCCTCAGACCCAGGAGTCCAAGCACACTGCCCACTCACCAGCGGTCTTAGCAGAGGAACCCACGGAGAAAGATCTGGTGGTGGAAACGGATTAAGCCACACCTGGAACAGGCTGTAAGAGCACCTGAGGAGGAGGGAGGCCGTTAGCGTCCGTTTGGACAGGCTCCTCCCTCCCGAGATCCGCTGCCCCGCGGGGACAGGAACGTGGCATGGAGCCCAGCACGGCCTGGCTGTGACCCCGGGCGAGCCCCGCCCCCTTCCCCTCCGGTTCAGTAAACTGGGCTGCGGCCGATGGAAGCCAGCGAAAGTGCACGCCCCGCGGGCCTGCGTGGGCGCGCGTGTGATCTTAACCCCGCGGGGGCGGGGGGACTGGGGTGCAGGCGGCGGTGGTTAGAGAACCCTGGGCGGCGGCTGCGGGGGCGGAAGGCCCAGCCAGAGCCGGAGTCTCCGCGCCTTATAAGGGCTTCGAGTCGGCCCAGGCATCTGGAATGTGTCAGGGACCAGGAGGCGGTGCCCAGACCCCCGCCCGCCTCCGGGGCTGCCCGCCCTCTCCCGGATTTCCGGGGGGTGGGGACCCCGACTCCCAGGCCCTAGTAGGAGAGGAGTGGAGGCCCGTATTTCTGGCTCCCTATAAACATGGGCTGAGAGCCCTCCGAGAGCATCTCTAAGACCGGAGTGGGCAGGGACCCGGGACTCAGGCTCCGGGCCGGAAACTGCACGCGGTGCTGGAGTCAGGCCCGAGGCCCAGACACGCCTCCCACGGTCTCCCTGATCGCCATTCGGGGCTTGCGGGAGCACCTGGGAGCATTCGGGGCTTGCGGGAGCTTCGGGGCTTGCGGGAGCTTCGGGGCTTGCGGGAGCACCTCCTCGCCCTCACGACCCCCCAGGACCCGGGAAGGAGAAGGAAATCGGGACTGGCCCAGCGTCCCGTGCTCTAGAAGGCGGGCTACTGCCCCGTCCCAAGCAGGAGAGGAGGACGAGCGAGGGCGTCACTCATTCAGTCTCCCGCGGAAGGTGGGCTAGCCGCGGAGGGGGCACGCCGAGGGGAAGGGAGGGGTCCACCCCGCCCTTAGGGCCTCCAGCCGTCGCCCGAGATCCGAGCTCAGGAATGCGCAGCCAGAGCCTGGAGGGTGTGGAAACAGGCCTCCGGGATTCCTTGCAGAGCACCGGACTCCCCGGGCCACACCCAGCCCCTCAGTGTCCTCCCTCGTCCACTTCAGACGCCACACCCATCGCTCACGCTCAGAATCGGGCCCCGGAACCCCAGCCTCGGCTCTCGGCACCCAGAGATGCGGGACGCAGCCCTGTCCTCTCCTCCTTTCCCAGCTCCTTCTGCACTTTGGGAGCACGGGGCTGGATCTTAACACCCCTCCCTCGGCCTTTCAGGAGCCCAAAGTTCCGATTCTGTCCCCTGGATGGGGAGGGGTCAGTAATTCTGAATTCCTTCCATTCTCATTCCCAAACCCAGGACACCTAAACCCAAGCTGTTCTCTTCCTAAAGGATCTCCACGTACCAGATTCCAGCCTCCAACTAGGGCACCTACGAGTCCCCATCTCTCTACTCCCGCAGACCCAGCCCCTCCTCCCTCATCCCAGGAGTCCAGATCCCCAGCCCCTCCTCCCTCAGACCCGGGAGTCCAGACCCCCAGCCCCTCCTCCCTCATCCCAGGAGTCCAGATCCCCCCTCCATCAGACCCGGGAGTCCAGACCCCCAGCCCCTCCTCCCTCAGACCCAGGAGTCCAGGCTCCCAGCCCCTCCTCTCTCAGACCCAGGAGTCCAGACCCCCAGCCCCTCCTCCATCAGACCCAAGAGTCCAGGCCCCCAGACCCTCCTCCCTCAGACCCAGGAGTCCAGACCCCCAGCCCCTCCTCCCTCTGACCCAGGAGTCCAGACCCCAGCCCCTCCTCCCTCTGACCCAGGGTTCCAGACCCCCAGCCCCTTCTCCCTCAGACCCAGGAGTCCAGGTCCCCTTCCCCACTCTTCCAGACGTATGACCTCCACAGTCCGGGTCCTCAGCCCTCTCCTCTGCAGAACCCCAAAAATCCTGGCCCAGCCCTAGTCTTTCTAGGGACCCAGATATTCTGAGACAGTCCATTCCTCCCTCTGGCCATAAGGACCCTAGACTGTTGCTCACGCTCTCTGGGGTCCCCACAACCTCACCTCAGGCAACCAGTGGCGGCTGAGGCTGAAGCAAAGACGACAGCTGCAGCTGGAAGGGTCTGAGGGCTGGGTGGGGTTGGCGGGCTGGGGAGCCAGGGCGGGCGGGACGGGGGCGGGGCCGGGGCGGGGCGCAGCTCCGGCTAGGGCGGTGGACGGGGACTTCCCCGAGCCTGGGCTATCCCAGCTCCGCCCTGAGGCGGGGCCAAGAGCGGACCACGCCCCCCCGGGTAAAAAGTAACGCGGCGCTCCGGCCCCACCCCAGTGAGCAGGGTGGAGAGCTGAGGTCACCGTTGCCGTGGTGACAAAACAGGAAGACACAACAGCTGGCGGCGTGGAGACTCCTGGGGGCTGCCCTCCTCGACACAGCCCTAAAGGAGTCTCCAGGGTAGGCCAGGGAACACCGTTACCATAGAAACCCGCATGTTTAGGGTTTGTTTAGTACAGAGCCCCCCAGCTCAGGTCCCCACCCCCGTCTCACCCCACTCCTTTCTCCCGCTCCCTTCCTGCCCCCTCCTTCCTGGTCTGTTCCGCCCCTACCCCTGCCTTGCTGGATGAAAGCTTAAACACCTGGGTCGCAGCGGATTGGGGGACCAGGCCCCTCAGTTTAATGGGGTTTGTGGGCTAGGATCTCTGTCTCTTGGAGCCCTGAGGGACAGCAGAATTGAGAGCAGTATTCCTGGGCCTTAGGTGGTTCTGGGCTACGATCCCTGACTGCTGGGTCTCCCCAAGAAACAGAGGCTAGATTCCTGTATTTAAGGAACTTGAAGGGGTAGCAAAATGCTCCCCTAGTACCCATTGGCACCGGGCGCCGCAGGCACCGGGCGCCGCAGGGTAAGGGACTCGGCTGGACGCGGGTCTCAGATATCACAGTGGATAGGGGTGGAGTGTGTTGGGGGCAAAATTCTCGGGAGCTAGCGCGGTAGGAGTTGGGGGCCCGGATTCCTGGGCTCCACAGGATGCCTAGGTTGAGGCCGAGATTCTCGACTCAAAAGAACAATCAGGCCCCGGCGCGGTGGGTCACGCCTGTAATCCCAGCACTTCGGGAGGCTGAGGAGGGAGGATCCCTTGAGCCCAGGAGTTCAAGACCAGCCTGGGCAACATGGGGGAGACCCTGCTCTATTAAAAATAAGTAAATAATAATAATAATAATAGAACCATTAAAGCTCAGACTCTTGGATTTTCAGAGCAGGTGTTGCAAGCCTAGCCGCCTGGGTCTGGAAGGCAGAGATATTCTTGGCCTACATTCCTGACTCCTGGATGGAGGGAGGGACTCAGAATTTTAATGAGGATGGGGCTGGAGCTGGGGCTGGGGGCTCTGGATTCCTGGATCCTGCAAGAGGGGAAGGGATCCAAGGGGCTGGTGGGCCCGAAGCCCCAGGGCAGGGAATGGCTGCCGGGTGCGTTTTTAAAAGGCGACTCTGCGGCCCTAAAACGCACTGCCGGAGCCAAAAGAAAAAGAGGGAGCTGAGAGTCGGGATGTTGGGCCCCCGGGGAGGGGCAGGGCGGGGACCCGGGACGCCTGAGTCCCTCCCTCTGGCCGCGCTCACTCACCGCGCTCTGCAGTTGTCCCGGGCGCGGCCTGGCTGGCGGCGGCCGCTGGGCGGGGCCTGGTGGCGGCTGCGGCTGCTCAGCGACGCTGAGCTAACGGGGCGCGTCTGGCGCTGCCGCCGCTGGGCACCTTCCAGGGCCGACAGCTGAAAAGGCTTTGAGGCCGAGACCAGGAGTGGAAGCCGCGCGAGTGGCGAAGGGAGCAGTAGGAAGGGGTCCGGGAGCTGAGGATCCGGGTCTACGTGTCCTACGGAGCGGGGAGGGGCCGGAGGGGGAACTGCAGGAAGGGGGGGGTCTGCAGGAGTGGAGAGGGGGTTGGGCAGAGGAAGGTAGAGCCTGTGTGCGCTCTCTTTGTGCCTCTGCAAAGGGAAGGGAGCACAGACCCTCTCTGTCATTCTGGGCCCTGCACAGGGGAGGGAGGTCTCAATGCGTCCACATCAGGCCTTGTCCCAGGAGGGAGGGCTATGGACGGATAGGGAGTCGGGACATGGTGTTAGCTGGAGACTCCCCCGGGACGCCTCTAGGTTCCACTCACAGGCCTCCTTGGCCCCAAGTGTAGCAGTAAATCTTTCTCCCTTCCTGCCTAAATCAGTCACTGCCTGACCCCATAGTGACACACTCGAGGTACCCCAAACGGCCCAGAGGTGGTCTCCACTTACACAACTTACTGTATTATTCCTTGTGGTGGCAGTGGTTCCCCTGTAGACACTGGGGCCCCTCAACGTCGGGGTTCAGGGTAGCAGGAACAGGAAGCAAACATTTGAAGAGTGAAGGTCGGTCGCAGTGGCTCACCTCTGTCATCCTAAGCACTTTGGGAGGCCAAGGCCGGCAGATCACCCCAGAGGTGGGGAGTTTGAGACCAGCGTGGCCAACATGATGAAACCCCATCTCCATTACAAATACAAAAAAATGAAGCCTGATGGCACCTCCTGTAGTCCCAGCTACTCAGGAGGCTGAGGCAGGAGAATGGCTTGAACCCGGGAGGTGGAGGTTGCAGTGAGCCAAGATTGTGCCACTGCACTCCACCATGGGTGACTGAGTGAAACTGTCTCAAAGCAAAAAATAACAACAAAACAAAAATTTGAAGAGTGAGTCATCGGGTGTGGTCCTAAGAAATGGCACTCTAGGCTGATGCAGCAGCTCATGTCTCTGATTCCAGCACATTGGGAGGCCCAGGTGGGTGGATCACCTGAAGTCAGGAGTTCGAGACCAGCCTCTCCAACATGGTGAAACCCTGTCTCTACTAAAAATACAAAAAATTAGCCGGACGTGGTGGCAGGCGCCTGTAATCCCAGCTACTTGGGAGGCTGAGGCAGGAGAATCGCTTGAACCCAGGAGGCAGAGGTTGTGGTGGGCAGAGATCACACCATTGCCCTTTAGCCTGGGCAACAAGAGTGAAACTCCGTCTCAAAAAAAAGAAAAAAGAAAAGAAAAAGAAAGAAAGAAAGAAAAATAAAAGAAAGAAATGGCACTCTTGAGTTCCCAGGTCTCTGTAATCTGGGATCATCTGGGATGTGCCCCTGGTTCAGAGTGGTTACCCGTGCCGTAAGCAGCACCCCTGACCCCAAAGATGATGACTCCAAACTGGCCCTGTAACCCAGTCTCAAACAGGCTGTGCCTCTGTTCCATGAGGCTGGCTGCTTTGGGGTAACAGGCTACATACACTGCCCCCCACTGACTTCCTAATATGTGGAGCTCCTTGATCAGAAGCAATACTGTGCGGGGTAACAGGAGGGTGAATAGGGTCATTCAGTGCAGACACAGATGCTGCTGTTGGCAGAAGTGCAAAGGGCAAGAAAAGCAAATAACAAGCCCAGAGTTGTTTATTTGAGGGAGGAAGCTGACTGCCCAGTCCAGGATGAAAGGGCCCCAGTGTAATCCTCACGCGCCCAGGTATTTGGCTCTTTGGTCTTCCTTGGAAACTGCCACTCTGGGGGCTCAGCACTTGCTACTGCCAGCTAGGTAGGCATTCATCGGTGACGTAACTGTTGTCGTCCACCTCGGCCACTTTGTTCCTGAGCTCATGGAGCAAGCCCTGAGGACGCCAGGGAAAGGCTGATCCAGAGCCACAGAGTGGCCATCCGATCTACCACATGGCATCATAGCATTCTCTGTAATAGAGGTTTTAGGGGGAGAGTTCCCTTGGGATAAAGATTATGAACTGGTTTCCACTCCCAACATGTCTGACACCACCAATGTGTGCGTTTTTTCTTTTCTTTTTTTTGAGACGGAGTCTCGCTTTTGTCATCCAGGCTGGAGTGCAATGATGTGATCTTGGCTCATTGCAACTTCTGCCTCCCAGGTTGAAGCCGATGTTCTCCATGGGCCTAGCTCGGAGTAGCTGGGGATTATTAGTGGCCGCCACCACGGCTCTGGTTAATTTTTTTTTTTTGTTTTTTGGTAGTCTTTTTTAGCGTAGCAGGGTGGGGTTTATCACCACTGTTGGTCAGGCCTGGGTCCTTGAAACTCCTGACCTTCAGGTATGCACCGCACCTCAGCCTTCCCAACAGTGCTGGGGATGACAGGCCATGAGCCTGCGCCCCGGCGCCACCTGGTAACACTTTCTATGATGTCCTCTAACAGAGAGGTTGCGTTTTGTGCCTTGTTGTGTTTTTGGTTTTAATCTATGATAATTTCGTTCTTTTTTTTTTGTTTTTTGTATGGATGGAGGTCTCACTCTGTCACCCATGGCTGGAGTGCAGGTGGTGCGATCTCTTGTTCACTGCCCAACCTCGGCCTCTGGATTCAAGTGATTCTCCTGCCCTCAGGCCCTCCCTAGTACCGCTGGGATTCATCATGGCCACCGCCCCGGCGCTAATTTCATAGTTTTTGGTACAGATGGCTTTTCACCCATGGTTAGCCAGGCCCTGGTCCGTCGACACGTCCTGACTCCAGTGTGATCCGCCTGCCTCAGCCCTACCCAAGCTGCTGGGATTACAAGCAGGTAGGGAAGGCCACCGTGGCCCGGCTGTCAGATTCTTCTTTTCCTTTTTGTCATCTCTGAAGATGATGTTCTTCTCATAACCTTCACTGTTGCTATTACAATTCTTCTCTGTTTTGATAGTCAGTGTTCCCACTCAAAGAATAATTTCATTGGATTTAAAATACACACACACATCATATATATGCATATCTATATGGTGTGTGCATTTATTATCTCACTGTTTCTGTGGAACTAGGCAGTTTAGCTGGGTTCTCTGTGAGGCTGTAATCAAGGTATTGGCCAGGACTGAGTTTTGGGTTTTTTTTTTTTTTTTTTTTGAGATGGAGTCTCACCTTGTCGCCCAGGTTGGAGTGCGGTAGCCCGATCTCAGCTCACTGCAACCTCTGCCTGACAGGTTCAAGCGATTGTCCTGCCTCATCCTCCTGAGTAGCTGGGACACAGGTGCATGCCACCACACCCAGCTAATTTTTATATTTTTAGTAGAGACAGGGTTTCACCACATTGGTCAGGCTGGTCTTGAACTCCTGACCTCAAGTGATCTGCACATCTTGGCTTCCCAAAGTGCTGGAATTATAGGCGTGAGCCACCAC